ATATGGAGGAGATGAGAGGTACCAAGATCCTTTCGACTCCAAACTTTTCTATTGTACCGATACATCTTTTTGTTCTCTTGTTCTCTTTTGTTCCCCTCTTGTTCTCTTTTTCCTTCCTGTTTCTTGGGCCAGACCAAATGACCCAACTAACAGAAGTGGCAGGAGAGTCAGGCAAGGTCACCTAGAGCTGGAGCCCTTTTGAGGCAACACAATCCTGCTGCTCCAAATACCCCTACAAAGCCACCTCTCCCATCTCATCTGCTCTCCTTCTCTATACCCACACTCAGAGCCCCACATACAGATGCTGGTATGATTCACAGCACCAAGATCGGTCCCTGGGAAGGAAAGAGGGCTCATAAAATCTTATAACAGTTTTATAACGTATTCTTAGCTTTTACAGGCATACTGGGCAGCTAAGGCTGGCAAAAAGCAAAGTGTCTGTGACGGATGGGCTGGCCCCAGGACCCAGAATTGGTGAGAGTAGCTGTGATGTTTTTGTGAAGACAGTACCATCTTTTAACTGTGTGAATGGGAAGGGCAATACAAGAATCAAACATTTCTTCAGATCTCTATAGCTTAAACAGCACTTTCACATTTAATGCCCACCAAGTAAATAGGTATTATTTCAAATTGACAGATGAGGAGCCCTGCACAGAGGAGTTGTGTAGCACCAAGGGGTAGAGCCAGGACTCGGCCTCCAGCTTTCCTTCTGAATTCAAATCTGATGCTCTGTTCCTGGGGTTGCCTGGCATGGCAGCAACTCTCAGTGACCTCTGCTACTTCTTCCCAGAAAGACATGTCCTCGGCAGAGTTACCCCTCATGAGTTCTCAGTCCAGGCTCCATCACCAGGATATCCCTGAGTAAATTCCTGCTACCAACACCAAACGTTGGGGTTTCTCAGCCATATCTGTACCCCTGGAGTCCTAGCACAACTCTTTCACCTCCCTTCATACTTTTCTCTCTTCTATTCAGCGAGCCCCCCTCCCACCTATCCTGTCATTTCCAGGGCATAGCTCATGTCAGCACCAGACGAGGGGATTCAGAATGATGACAATGCCTCACAGACACAATCACCTACACTCTTTTACTCATTTGTGTCATTCCTAAATTTCTAATGAAAAATAAGCAAAATGGGTCTTGTAATGCCTCTTTTATAGATGAGATAAATGGTTCAGAGAAGTCAAGCAATTTTTCCCAGGTCACATAGCTGGTGACTGAAAGAATCAGGATCTGGATCGGCTGTCTTGACTCAAGTTCAGGTCTCCTCTCCTTTCCTAAGGAAAGTTGCAGAAAGTCCCAGGTTGCTCCTAACTGTTCAGTTGGGCAGCATTTCAGATTCAGTGGGTATATTGCTTCCTCCTAAGCTGAAAGCTAAAGTTGACTCTCTTATCTACAATGCTTCAGCCCAAAGTGTTTGGGCATTTTTGAGCTTGTGGTTTTTTGAGCACATACCTCGGTAGTTCTCCTTAGTTATCAAATACCAGCACCAGCCTGCACTGAACACAGCTGGTACCTCTAAGATCTCCTCACATGGGCTCAAGCTAGAAACACAGTTATTCTCCTCAGGCCAGGGATCACCAAGGGGAAGAGGTGTGGTAACCTTGAAAATCATTTTTGTCCAACATCATGCCTCCTGAAATAGTCTACCATCCCATGCAGGAGAAGATGTAGCATGTTTTCAATTCCTCTTTCCCTGGAAATTTCCAGTGAGATTTTCTGGGCTTGGCTCCTTTATCACACTCTAAAGCCCATTTGTATGGTGAACAATACCCCTTACTAATGTAGCCTCCTCCTGCCCCTGAAGCCTCATCTCTCTTGTGCCTTCCTCTCAGCCACCTCCATGCCCCAGTCACCGGCACTGCCTGTACCCATGCTGTTCCCCAACACCTTTGCTGCTCCCCCACACCTTTGCTGCTCCCCTATTTAAAATGCCCCCCAAGGCTTGTTTGCCTGCGAATCACTTACTGATCTATCATGAGACAGCTCAAATGTTGCCTCCTCTGTGAAGCGTTTCCTGATACACGCTCCTGTTTCTCCCACCATAGGAATTAACCACCCCTCCTCTACAAGCCCTCACTGTGCCCTAATTAGAGTACTCATTCCCTGTCGGGTCTGTGGTCACTGGAAGAGCAAGGACACTATATGACTTCTCTTATCATCGACCAGGCAGATAAAGATCCTAGTACATTGTACATGTTCCACATGTGCATCCTGACTACATAATGTGTGAAAGGATGTGCAATTGGCTGCATGCATGTGGAAAGAGAAGAAGACTACACCCTCATGAAGCTACCCTTGATCTTAGCCAAAAGGCCAAGAAGCGATCCTTATGGAACTTAAAACCTCACTTGTGTGTCCATCAACACATGAACAGAAAAATAAAATATGATCTATACACACAATGGAATATAATTCAGCCTTAAAAAGGATGGGAATCTAACAGGTGTTACAACATGGATGAATCTTGAGGACATTATGCTAAGGAAAATAAGGACAAATACTATATGATTACACTTGCATAAGGTACTTAGAGTAGTCAAATTTAGAGACAAAAAGAAGAATGGTGGCAGCCAGGGGCTGGGGGTGAGGGAGAAGTGATCAGAAAGACTCCCTGGAAGGGACAGCAGCAGAAGGGAGTCCTCAGGTTTTCCATAAAGGCCCTCTGTGGTCATGCAACAGTCTGTCCCTTCCCCACAACTATGGAACTTAGGGTCTAAGTCACTGCATGCCTGGGTGGGATTCCCCACCCAGTATAACCAGTGAAAAGTTGCATCAGGCCTCTACCTCACAGAACAGTTTTTAAGAGATACACATGTACACTCACATTTTTGCTCTTTGATTTGCACAAAAGTATAGCCATTCATCAACTTGCAGGCTTTGCATTTCTAAAGGGCTATCCTGCTTTGCAGAGCTCACAACCTTTGGCCCCAGAGAATGTTGGGAAGCCAAAGTGGCAGCCACTTCCCTGGCCTGAACCCATGAACTTTTACCAGGACCTCCTCATTATAACTTCTGTAATTTTCTGCAGTGGAGGCCAAGGTGCTGGTGGTTGGTGTGGTGGGAACCAGGTGAGCCTTCTATCCAGGAGCACCAGGGGGAGAGCCGGCATAAAGTCTGTCTTCTTCAGCACTGGGCTTGAGTAGGAAGGACATTTAGGGATGGACCCTCAAATGCAGGCTGCTCATGAAGAATGTTTGATACATGGAGCTCCTGCCAGACAAGCTTGACCCTGAAAATTAAAGTCAATGTGGTACTGGAGGGCTCATTTGTTGAGCACCTATTATTTGCATACTCTTGGCAACATCCTTTGGGGTGTGCTACAGTGCCTACAGAATAGTAGGGCAGATGCCAAGGGCTCAACTGACTGTAATACAGGCAAATACAAAGTGCCAAGAGCTGCATCTTAAATGCTGTAAGAGTTCAAAAGGCAAGCATGATGCTCAAATCCTGGTAGTGTGTCCAGCCAAACCAACCTACAACCATTAATAGTCTGGGGAGTTGCATTTCCAGGAGAGTTGAGATCAGACTGAATCAGTAGCAGGAGCCATTATGCTTCTGGAATATAGGAGCCTATGACCATAGACTGACTACTTCCCAGGCATTCATCTGGGACTGTCCCAATCCTTGGAATAGGAAGGAAAGAAGATACTGATGCCCCCAGTCACTCTGTAAAATGAGATATAGGCAGAAACAAAGTCAGACATTAGGATCATATAGTCCTGAGTCCAATCTTGGCTCTTCCACTTACTGTGTGGCCTTGGGAAAAGTCATTCAACCTCTCTGAGCCTTGGGTTCTCCATCTATAATACAAGGATTACAACCCCTTCCATCACAGATTGCTATAAAGATGAATTGGGTATACAGAAAGCCTTTAGCACAAACCTAGGATGGAGTAAGCACTGAGTCTATGATAGTTGATATTATTATTAGTGTGCCTAGCTAAGATTTAATTGGGTGCTTGTTTAGGGACACTGATTGATTTATTTTGTATTCAGATAGGCCATGTAGCCATTAAAGCATCCCTGAGCTGTTGGAAGATGCCTTATTGGGATATTGGTGAGGATGTCCCATGGTCCAGCGTTGTTATCAGTACTTGATACAGTGTTATCATGAGGATGAAATGAGCTACCATATGCAAAGAACTTCTAGCAGAGACTTGCACAGAGTGGGAGTGTGGTATAGAAGTGAAGAATACAGACTCTCGGCAAACTCTGGAGTTTGAACCCCGCATCGCTAGTTTCTAGTGGTATGACCGTGAGCAAGTTGTCTAAGCTCTCCGTGACTTGGTTTCTTCATCTGTGAACTGAGGAGGGTAATAATAGTGCTCATCTCATAGAGTTATGGATATTCAATGAGATAATAGTTTCAGTACACATAGAGAAGTCCCAGGCACTTAGTAAAGGCAATGTGAATGTTTGCTGTCATTATTATGAAGTTTAGTATTTGCTATTGTTGTTGTTTTTGCAAGAGCCCTGCATTTGAATTCAGAAAACCCAGGCTTGAGTTCTGGCTCCAACAATAAATGGACATCCGACAGTCAGCAGGCAGCTGACCTAACCTCTCTCACTCTGACAACCAGGACAATAATGCCTATCCCAATGACCTTGACAGGTTAATGTGAGAATGAAAGCACTTTGTAAACTGTAAAGAATAATAAAATTATAATAGACAAATGAAAAAAAAACAAAGTCTAAAGACAGTGTTAAAGTGTTTGTTTGTTTTTATTTTGAGGAAAATCTATATAAACATGCAGACTTGTACAGTCATGGAAAATTTCTCAAAGGATAGTTAGTGAGACCTAGAAGATGAAAGAGTGGTCTTGTGAACTTTTTACTTTAACCCCTTCTGTACTATTTAAATATTTTTTTAAACAAGTGTGTTTTCCTCATGTAACTTAAAACCAAAGCAATATTTTCCTAAACGTTATGGATTATTAGTAGATTGCCTAGAACTTCAGCCATGTTGGGTTCTTGTTCTGGCTCTAAAATAGAAATGAATGAAGCAAGGTAGCTCCCTTTCCAAGGGGCCTAATAGGGCTTCTCTTCAGGAAAGAAGCAACTTGGAATAAAATCTGGCATGCTTCAGGTTTTCAGGAGAGAAAGTGATGAGTAATTTCCTTTGCCTTTCTTTGGCTGCCTACATGTAATAATAGTAATAGTAGTAGTAGTAGTAGTAGTAGTAGTAGTAGTAGTAGTAGAAATGAATGGGTTTCAGGCCACTTCACTTGTGGCCTCAGTTTTTCCATGTATAAAATGGGATGGCCATTCCCTTTTCACCACCCTGCTTTACCAAATAAAAATAAAGAAACACAAAATCCTTTTTGCAACTGGCTTAACTATCTCAGACCTAAAATCCATGAGCTTCTTGGTCTGTCTCAGCTATAGATGTGGCTCCCACCTACAGCCTGAGGGAAAGGAAAAAAGACTATTGTTTTGGCCCTGCGGCTCTCCACTTGTGTTCATAGTGTGTTTGACCCTGCACATAGACTGATCCAGCTGGTCTCTACCCTCCCATCCAGACTACCAGAAGAACCTACCCCATAAACATAGATCATGAATTCCAGGACCCAGATTTGAGGACTGTTTAAGGGGCCAGCCCCAGAAGACTGATTACATTACTTCCTACAGAAACAAGGCATATTTGCTTTGCCAGGAAACCAGATTGGTAAACTGACCTGAGCCCCCAAACCTCAGTATCCTCCCAACTTTGCCCCATTTCTTCCGTCTCCTTGCTCAGTGACTCCCAGGAACTGCCACGCTCTCAGAAGCCTCACCTCTCTCTGTTCCCCTCCATTTCCGTAGGCAGGGGCTGCTTGGTATTCACACCATGTCATCCTTGCCTGTCTCCATTTGGAAAATCTCTTTTTGACCTCTCTGTATCTCTCAGTTGCCTTTGTGAGGGAAGGGAGTGAAGGGGAAAGGAGAGAGAGATCGTCTCAGCATTTACCCAATTAGTGGTAATTAGAAGGAAAGGCCTGGGTACTCTTCCCACAGCTGCTCCAAAGGACAGAGCTGGCTGGAGAATAGCCACTAAATGCACGTTGGACACACTGTGAGAGAGCTCTGACCAGCCCTCTCCTGTCCTGTGCATCCCTGTTTCTCTCCCCATGCAGTGAACACGCTCATCTCTCTCCCCATAGCTGCTTCTTCCAGGACTTATTTCTTGGATTTGCCCTTGGTTCTCAGCCTTGGGCTACCAATGAGGCCCTACCCAGGCTAAGTCCTGCTGGAGGCCTGGTTCCCATGGTAACCTGAGCCTGGGGGAGGGCAGGCCAGAAGAGTGATGCTGTCAATGATGGGCACGCTGCCTTCCCAGGGCACCCATTGCTTGGTTCCTAGTTATCCTTGAAACACTGTGATCTGGCACAGACATCCCTGCAAGACAGGGCAGCTGGGCCCTAACTCCACGTTCACTCACTTGAGCCCAGACAGCAGGTCTAGAACTGCGCTAGAACCTCAAATCTGATGGCATCTCAAGAGGTCAGCACATCTCTCCCTCCGCAGCAGCTGATCTCAGTAGGTGGTGTGGAATTGAAAAGCCATTTTTATTAGGAGTATGGCCTGTCCTGACCCCAGTATTAGGTGCCAGCTGTTTAGTATTGTCCATCTTGTCAACAGTTATTAATGATTCTGATTAACCTCTATGGTGATCCATTATCTCTATGCCAGGGAATATGCTATCAATTCCCATCTGTGCTAGATTACTTACAGTTAGGGGTTGGTACTTTTCCATGGTCTCACAACACATCTTAATCAGATGGTGAGTGGGTTTAATTAGCCAAAGTACGGTATAGGTTTTATTTTTTTATTCCTATAACTACTTAATCTAATGGAAGCCTATTATCTGTGGCTTTTTTCTCATGCATAATTGTTGCTGTTTTTAATTGATGGTGCATCAGGGGTTGCAGCTACAATATGGCAGCCGGAACACAAACTTGCCTTTCCCCAGAATGAAGCTTGAGAAAATGAGTTGTCAGTGAGGCATCAGTTTCCTTGTTTTCAGAGAGATGCGAGCTCCCGTGTGGAAGCTGCTGGTTCCTGCCAACAGAAAGGAAATGTGGTTCTTAGCCGGGCAACCCCTGGGCTTCACTGCTGCAAAATGCCCTTTAGGAGCCCTGGGGCTGGATCCAAATCAGGAACAGCTGGGAAAGATAGATTTTTGTCAATCCAACCAGATCATAAGCAACCCCAGGGCAGGGACAGGTCCTGTTCTTGTTTTGCTGCCTCCATTTCACAGGCTCTGGGATGGGCTCGTGATGCCCCCTGTGTGCTCTCCTATATATGCAGTGAATTGAACTCAGAGTTGAGACGGTGCAGGAAATCTGGACTCTTGTAGAGTAAGTTATTTGTCTTGAATGAGAAGATGAACCTGAAGTTTTTCCTACAGACAAAGGGATCCACTTTCGAATTTGGACAGTGACTCAGCCAATATACAGAACATCTTGGCTGTTTCTAGAAATAAGGCCCTGATCTTCAGTGGGATAGATTGCCAAAGTCCCAGTATCATTTGGGACAGAGCTCCAATAACAAAAAAAAGTGTTCCATTAACCCAGATTGTAGGAGAGAGAACAAAAGGCAGAGTGATATCTGGCCAAAAGCAGGAATCCATTCATTTTCTAGAGCTCTTGGGCTTTCCTCTAAATAAGCTGCGTCGAAGGGTTGGTAGAATAACCTGGCAGTCAGTTAGCAAAGCTCCCAGATCACCCAGAATGGAAGGATCCCAAGGCCTTTGGTCAATGTTAAGAGTACCCTGGACTGAGCAGGACAGGGGCATAAGCTGAGACAATCATAGTCTTGCTGTCTCTTGCAGGCCCACCCCAACTCTATGTCTTTCCCCCAGCTCTTTCCAGACTCGTTAAATGTAGTCAGAGGAAATCTGCATAACTGGGTTCAAAGACTTATTTCCCTTCCTGCTTGTCTCTTTCTGTTAAATAATGTGACAGAGAAAGGAGACCTTGGGAGGCAAAGTTGCTGGGGCTTTCTGGCTGAACTCTCTTTCCAGGAGAGTCTGAGTTACAGATGCAGAAGGCACAGACTTTCTTTCCCAGCCCACGGCCATGGTCAGCTATTATTGGTGGTGGCACTGGGTTTATTCCTTCCTTCCCATTTTGAAAAATTATTTGTACAGAGACTTCTGTGCCTGACCCACAGTCAGCAGCCAACAGGAGCCACGGATTCCTCCTGCAACATTTTACAGGGTGACGGATCAGATAATGTACACTTAGCGAGTGCACAAATAATGTGAATCAGGGTTGGCATAGTGCAGTGAGGTGTAAAAAAAGCAATTTGAATTGTTCTAGGGAAACGCCAGAGCCACTCTGACATGCTTGCTTGCCAGAACGCTGCCCTGTGCCCCTCCAGAGGGCTGAGCCCCAGGCTCTGGCCGGAATGGCAACAAGGCTGCCCAGCACCGCTGGCCTGAAGGGGACTTCCCCCAGAGATGGGAGAAGTTCTCCTTTCTGTGTCACATTATTTAACAGAAATAGACAAGCAGGAAGGGAAATAAGGGAGAGGGCATGAGTGACACCCTAAAACAGAGCTCGAATTCAGACTAGGGGTGGTTGGACCTGTTAACCTGCTGAGACTTCGTCAGAAGGAGGGAGGGAAAGAGACAGACTAAACTTTGTATCTGCAGGTATGGCCACTCATGGACAGGCAATTTGACACTGTATGTACTCTACTTGGGAAGATCTATCCTTAGTCTTCTTGGACTGCCAGAAGTCCTCTAGTCTACCCCCCCTGCCTCCAGACAGAACTATACCTCCTCTCCCACACAACAAATGGATTTTGAATTTGTTTCAAAGGCTCTCTAAGGGAAGGAGATTTCACATCCTCCCTTAGTCATAACGTTCACCTTCTGGAAGTTTCTCCGCCTAAATCAAATCCTTCAGGCTTACACATTTTCACAAGGATCTGGCCGTGCTTGGTAAGTTAATGGCACATAAACATGTGTGTGCCTAAGCAAAGACCTGGCCGTAGTACCATGTCCTTGCTCTCCTGATAAGTAGTTTGTAAGTGAGCAAGCAGCCAGCTCATCTCTCAGCCCAGCCCACTCTCCCTCTTACTGTCCTTTCCAACCCTGACTGTCCTGAGCCTGCTTTGCCAGGCTCATCTTGTTGTCTGACTCTGCAAAGCAGTACTACCTTTCGACACTGCAAGTGGATGGTCAATCCTCCTCTCATGCTGGCTCTGTCCGCCTGTGCCCTAAGAGCCCCTGCTCCTACCAAGGTGCTTCCATGAGGTTTCCTGTCCAGTGCAGGAGACAGGCTGTTTATCATTCTGACACCTGCTGGGCAGTCTTACCTTGCAAAGCCACAGAGTCTCTGCAATCCACCCTAGCTCTAACTGTTGTCTACCAGCTCTTGCAGGAACCAAAGCTATGCATACAGATAATGTCAATAAAATGGCTTGGATTTATTTTTGAATAAAAGCAGACATTGCCAACCTCCTATATTAAGTTCCTTAGTCAAATCAAGTCCCAAGCCTAAAACTCGTGAGACCTGGTCATGGGAGAAAGTGGTAGAAAAATCTCTGGATTGTTTCAAATGAAAGCTGATTACAGGGAGTGAGGGAGTTTTCTGGTGACTCAGGAAGCTGAAGAGTTTAGGGATAATAGACTGCCAGGCCACCGGCTGCCCACCTGCATTACTGACCCCAGAGTGGTCAGGCAGGGAACCTAGCACAGATTAAGAACCCAAACAAAAGGGAAGATAGGACAGGTCTGGGGACAGGCAGCCTGCTGAGGGACTGGCTAAGGCCTCCAGATTTTTTTCCCAGGAAATCTGGGGACAAATTTCCATGTTGTCTTTGCATAAATTTGTGTGCTGATTTGCATAGATTTGCATATTTGCTTTCAAAACACCCAAACTCAAAGAGTATAAAATAAAATGCAATTAATTAATTAATTAGTATGATGGATGGCAAATGCAGCCACACTAAAAATACAGGATCCGTGAGGGACCCTGATCAAGGGACAGATTTTCTAGCTTGTCCCCCTAAGCCAGGATGGATTGGGGGATATGGTACAACTTCTGGAGTTGTCTGTCTCTTCCACTAACAGTAGGCTCTTGGGAAGAGGCACGTACAGAACTCTTTGATCCCTATATCCCTGGGCTCCAGCAAAGGGTTTGCCACATATGAGACTA